AGAGAGAGAGAGAGAGAGAGAGAGAGAGAGAGAGAGAGAGAGAGAGAGAGAGAGAGAGAGAGAGATGAGCGATCCAAGATTGGTTGTCACTTACGTGTAAGGCAAGACTGCGGAGTCCGGTGGAGAAGGTAGACGGCGGCCATAGCCGCGGAGCATTGACACAGAGTACCGGAGGAGAGAGAAAGGGGAGGACAAAGAAGGAGGGACTGGGGAGAGAGAAAAAGAAGTGTGGAAGGAGGAGATTGAAGAAGAAGACAGACATAGCCGGGGGTGAAAAAAAAAAAAAACAGCGAAAGAGAAGAAGAAGGGGAAGTAGACGGCGATGGTGACGAAGGTGAAGGTGCCGGCAGCCATAGCCGAGGTGAGGGGTTGATCGGGCGTTGACTAGAGGGTTGACTAGGCGTTGACCAAGGTGGTTGACCAAGAGTTGACTGGGGGTTGTTCGCGTTGACCAAGGCGTTGACCAGAGCTGCTGACCAAGATTTTGACCAAGCTGGAGTTGGTGATATCTCGTTGACCCTTCAGCCTATCCCCTTACCCTGTGGATGTGCACTTACCCCTCGGTACTTGCTGAGTCTGTCTGTCTGCTCTTTCTGCATTGAGTCTCTTATGTCCTAGGTGCTAGGACTCTGTGGATGAAGGATAGGGCCTTGCTGCCAAACCTGCACGGGCTTAGTAGGACCAAAGCTTTACACTGGCATCTGGAGACCTGGGCATGAGCGGCGAGCGCTCGTTAAACAACTCGTCAAGCCCAATGACCGGTACTGTCCGGCAGGTCTACTGAGTTCAGTGTAAAGGGTCCGAACTCCGGGCTGTAGGCTGAAACGAGGGTCGTCTTTAAGTGTTGAGGCCTGGTTGAACCACTCCCCTACCGGACCTAGTAAGGCTGATGATCTGTGTCTGACGACTCGACTGTCCCGAGGTATACGAACCTCTCCAAGGACCGGTACAGACCGGCGGGCTGCTCGGTGTGGCACAGTAGGCCGGAACGGCTGCGTTGTGGGCTGAAATCGCCAGGAAGAACTACGCTGATCATGTCGTCCTGACTGCGACGTTAAAGAATTTTTGAGGAGTTTGGGGGATCTCCTTAAATGCCTCCTGATCAGCTGTTAGTTCAGTAGTGACATCCTTAGAGTAGTTGTGAGTAGTTGATCCTAGAGAGTCAGTTAGTAAGTCAGTGTGTCCGGGTAGGTCTAAGTGGTAAGGAGTGGGACTCTTGTCGTGCACCAGACACCACGATGGACGATTATCCGATGTACGGGTTTCTTGTTGGGTTCTCCCTCTGGGGGACCCTCTGGCGTCTCCTCTTTCCTCTGGGGTTCTGGCACGCGATGACGTGCAGAGTAGATACCCGGGGTGGTACCTCCACCACGCCATACACGAAGGGGGAGGAGGAGAAGATGGCCGCCATCTTGCAGGAGAGGAAGGAGAAGAGGGAGGCCAAGAAGAAGGCCCTACAGGAGGAGCAGGCGGCCAAGTTGAGAAAGATTGAGGAAGAGATGGCCTGAGAGAAGGAGAGAATCATGAAGGAAGAAGAGGCGAAGTTGAAAGAGGTGGATGAGGAAGAAGAGGAAGGACCGCCATATAAAGGAAGAGTGGGCAGCACAGTGGCAGCAAGGATGAAGAGATGGAGAAGCGGATTTCAGAATGGGTCGCCAACTTGTCCCTGGGTGAAGAGGAAGAGGTTGCTATGTACATCCCCAAGGATGAGCAAGAAGCCGTCATGAAAAAATGGGAAGCAGAGGAAGATGTTCTGACGCGGCAGGCGATGGAGGATGAACAGAGGATGGCGTGGAAGCTCGCGATGATGAGGGAGAAGAAGAGAAGAGTGGAGGCGGCGAATGCAGCAATACAGGAATTGGAGGAGGTGCAAAAATTGAGGCCACAATTGACACCCCAGGTAGATCTCGAGCGGAAGGTGGAGATCATCACCCAGAGCGTCGAGCGTTTAGCCAAAGTGCAAGAAAAGCACTATGAGTTTAGTCGCAGCCAGGAGATATCTGTGCGTTCGATGCGAACGGGATTACGGGACTTTGCGTGCGAGTTAGCAGGCGCTGTGGGGTCTGAGGTGAGTCACCGCCTCGAAAAGACTGAGCGTTTTTGTGTCGGCGCATTGAGGGTGTCAAGGTGGCAGTGCCCAAGGAGGAGGAGGCTCGCCCTCGCAGGGAGCCAGTCAAAGTCAAATTCCCTGATTCCTACAGTGGAAAAAGGGACGAGAACTTTGACAATTGGGAGGCCAATGTCAGGACCTATGTGCATCTGCAACAGGTCTCCCCGGATCAGCAGGTCGTAATTGTGATCCATGCGCTTAAGGATGAGGTCGCCAGTTTCGCAAGGTCCCTTGTGCGTGCTGCCAACAACAGTGACGATCCGGTCGTGTACTCCACATTCACCTCCCTCGTTGAGTTCCTGAAGTTGCTGCGCAAGCGATTTGCTGATGTCGCCCGTAGTGTCAAAGCCTCAGATAGGCTTGAGACAGTACACTCGCGCCAATGGAAGAGTGCAAGGGCACTCAAGGGCACGATGGATGAGTTAGTGGCTGTCCCTGACCACAAGGTCACAGAGACCCAGTTGGTCAACCTCTTCTAYCGGGCTATGCCCGAAGCGCTGCGKGGYCACTTCTTYGCGAARAGTCAGGACCCTGCTATGACTTATGATGCACTTAGCAGGGAAGTGGTCGCGTTCGAGGCGAAGTCTGCGTCGATTTCCACTTTCTGGCACAAAGATTTAGACAAGGGCAAAAAGTGGAAGGGCCGCACTATCTCAGGGCAAGTGAAGACTAAGGATAGCCTTGTCCTAACCTTAGATGAGGGTAGTGTGGACGAGATCCCCTACGATCAGATTGAGTGGGGGTTAGAGAAGGAGGACATCGGTGTGGGCCAAGGGAGATCTTACGCTGTTGTCGCGGCCGGAGGGAGGCCGCAAGGAGGAGGACGAGGCTAGGGCCAAGGGGGCCGGGCCTCAGGGAGCCGGTTCCAGGGCGATCAGGGGGTTGGCGGCAGAGGAGGAAAACGCCAAGCGGGAGGCAGGGGTCGAGGTCCCCCGCAAAATTGTCCTAGAAACAGGTCTCCCTATAGGGTAGGAGGATGGCACCAGGGGCTACTGCAGGGTAGGCCTTGGGAAACTTTGGGTCTAGACCAGACTCTATGGCAACGACGATTGGACCGGGGCCAGTGCATTTTCTGCGGTGACCCGGGCCACATCATCAAATACTGTCCTAAGTATCGAGAGACCCGAACGGCTGCCCAAGGGCCAAAAGGCAGCCGCCGGTAGGGGTAGCAACTGCCCCTACCACTAGGCCATGTGGGGAACATAGCGCTAGCCGGTAGGAGATTCCCACACCACATGTGCCTATGGCAGAGGTTGCAGGCCGGTGTCTAGATAGCTGTCCCGAAACTGCTTGTGTTAGAGTTTGGCTAGACACCTCCCTCACAGGCGTGGCCGAAGAGTTGAAGGAGAGGATACCCGCCTGAGCCAAGATGAAGAAGGAGAATAAAGGGGAGCTTATATTACTAGATACGGAGATTTTTAGAACTAGAGTAGGGGCCCTAGCCCCGCAGCTATATTAGTAAGACAGCGCTGCAGAAGTTGAAGCTGGGACTTAAAGTCCAGAAACTGACAGACCCCATAGTTAGTATCCTCGCAGACAACCGAACTATGCTCGTAGAGGATTACGTAGAGGGAGTCCAGGCATATTTCCGCCTAGCGAAGGATGGGAAAGTGGAGAAGGTCCTCCACTCCCTGACTCTCCTCGTAGAAGACAGCTTCCCATTCGACATTGTCCTGGGGATGGATTGGGAAGAGGCAGCCGGGGCCACGCTCCATTTGAAGGAGCACGAATGTAGGCTCCCTAGTTCTTCAGGCGAGGCTAAGATTGCCCGCCTGTTCCATGTGTCAAGAGTAGAGAATTCCTTGGCGCACTGTTGCCTTAGTGCCCCCGCGTTCGCCAGATTGGTGAGGAATAGGTTTTTGTTGCCTATGTTAGGCCAGTGACTGAGCCTACGGAGGAGAAGCCGATGGACCCTGCGATTGCCAAGCTGCTGGAGGAGTTCAAAGATTTAACTGAGCCGCCGATAGGAGTAGTACCGCGGCCCATCCAGCACCGTATCGACATAGAGCCTGGCAGTAGAACTCCTAAGGGCGCGGTGTATAGGATATCCCCACGGGAGTTAGAGGAGCGTCGCAAGCAGTTAGACGAGCTCCTCGAGAAGGGTTGGATTAGGCCCATATCGTCTCCGTTTGGAGCGCCTGTTTTGTCCCTAAGAAAGAGGGAGAGCTGAGAATGTGCATAGACTATAGGGGTCTGAATGTTATTACAGTAAAGAATGCTGAGCCACTGCCTAGGATAGACGATCTCTTAGATCGAGTGCAGGGGGCAAAGTATTTTTCCAAGATAGATTTGAAGTTCGGATACCATCAGATAGAGGTGCATCCTGATGATCAGTATAAGACAGCCTTCCGGACTAGGTATGGGCATTACGAGTTCATAGTGATGCCCTTTGGAGTAACCAATGCGCCAGCTACATTCCAGCGTTGTATGAACGATTTGTTTAGGTTGTGGTTAGACAGATTTGTTGTAGTTTATCTAGATGACATTCTAGTGTTTAGTAAGACCCTCGAAGAGCATCAGGGTCATCTCAGGCAGGTCTTGGAGAAGCTGATGGAAGCTAACTTCAAGATCAATGCAAAGAAGTGCGATTGGGCGAAAATCCAAGTTTTGTACTTAGGCCACGTCTTAGACGGAGACGGCGTTAAGCCAGAGGATAGCAAGATCGCAGCGATTAGAGATTGGCCCACGCCACGTACGCTGACAGAGTTGCGCTCGTTCCTGGGCTTAGCTAATTACTACCGGAAGTTTGTGAGGAACTTCTCCACCATCGCTGCGCCCCTTCACATATTGTTGAGAAAAGAGACCATTTGGAAGTGGGATAAAGACTGCACGTCTGCCATGAAGAAGTTAAAGCAAACATTGATAGAGTACCCAGTCCTTAAGGTCGCCGACCCGTCCTTGCCCTTTGTCGTCACGACCGATGCGAGTCAATACGGCATAGGTGCAGTGTTACAGCAAGACGATGGCAATGGGTATAGACCCGTAGAGTTCATGTTTGCCAGAATGCCTTCAGAGAAGGTCGCGACATCTACCTATGAGAGGGAACTCTACGCTCTCAGGCAAGCCTTAGACCACTGGAAGCACTACTTGCTTGGGAGGTACTTCAAAGTCTATTCTGACCATGAAACGTTACGATGGTTAAAGAGGCAGGCCTAGATGACACCTAAGCTTACTAGGTGGGCCGCCGAGATAGATCAGTACGACTTCGAGCTCAAGCCTGTCAAAGGGAAGTACAATGTAGTCGCGGATGCTCTGAGTAGAAGAGCTGATTATTTTGGGGCAATAGTACATTACCTCGATATAGGGAAGGACCTGCAACAGAAGGTTAGAGAAGCTTACGCGCAGGACCCTATCTATAGTGAGCTCCTTAAGAAAGTCAAGGAGGCCCCGGAGACTGAGCCGAATTACCGCACTACTGAAGGGTTGCTTTTTGAGAAGACTAATGTGTTTGACCGCCTGTGCATCCCCAATAGCGAAGAGATTCTTAATCTGATTTTGGGCGAATGCCATGACACAGAGGGTCATTTTGGTTGGCAAAAGACTTTAGCCAATTTGATGCGCGCGTATACCCGGCCAGGGATGAAGAATGACTGCGTAGGGTATGTTCGCAGTTGTAAGGTTTGCCAGCGTAACAAGAGTTCTACGCGCGCCCCGCTAGGCCTTCTCAGACCCTTGCCCATTCCGGACCAGGCGGGGGACTCAATGTCCATCGACTTCATGGACACTCAAGTCAAGAGCAGGCATGGCAAGAGCCAAGTCATGGTCATAGTTGATGGATTTAGTAAATACGCAGTTTTTGTTCCTTTGCCTTCAGAGGCACGTACCGATTTAGTTATACAGAGATTCTTTGACTGTTGGGTTAGTGAGAATGGAATCCCGCTGTCAATAGTTAGCGATAGAGATAGTCGCTTCACCAGCCAGAACTGGCAAGAACTCATGGGAGTGTATGGATCTAAGTTGTTGATGTCGTCCGGCCGCCATCCTGAGACTAACGGTCAGACAGAACAAATGAACAAGATCCTACAGCAAGTTCTGCGCATGTACATTAGGCCAGATCAGATTAACTGGGATGAGATGCTGCCTAAAGTAGCTAGTGCGTACAATAACAGCGTACATCTAGCCACCTGCCGCACTCCCAACGAACTGCACAAGTCCTTTAGACCGCGCCGACCGTTTGAGGGACTCAACCGGGATCAGATTCAGAGATTACCGCCCGGGACCAGGGAGTTTGCTGTACAGCACGAGAAGGAACTAGGTACTGTTGTCGAGAACCTCAGGAAAGCCCAGCATAGGATGATAGAGCAAGCGAACAAACACCGTCGCCCTTCACAGTTTCAGGTAGGCGACTTAGTCTGGGTTAGTTCTAGAGAGTTTGCACCTGAGGAGAACATCTCGCAGAAGTTACTGCCCACATATAGAGGACCGTGGCCCGTTCTAGAAGTCAAGGGCGGCGAAGATGGACTGTCCTATACTATAGAACTCCCAGCACACCTCCACACTTACCCAGTCTTCCATGCGTCGAAGTTGTTACCTTGTCAAACAAGCGACCAGTTTCCATCCCGTAGATCTATGATTCCGCCCGATATGGATGGAAGGTATGACATCGATGGCATAGTTGCTGAAGATGTATTCCGAACTGGAGGTAGGGGTCGTCCACAGAAACAGTACAAGGTTCATTTTAGCTATCAAGAACCGGAAGACGACCGCTGGTTTACAAGATCTGAACTTCTAGAGACAGCTCCCGATATAGTCCGAGCCTACGAAAGACAGCAGAGAGGTAAAGGTCCTGCCTTGGACTGAAATTTTCTCGGAGGACCTCGAATTTAGGACGGCGGGAGTGAAACGGTATTCACCAGTTCGCAGTAGCGAATGCAGATCCCAGGGCTCGATCCCTAGTTCCCCATCTTACCTGTGTACAGTAGTGATGTCAACCCGTAGATTTGAACCTGCGACCTGTCGAAACGCCAGTGGTAGGTAGATTGTCGTAGGTCACAGCTTAGAAGGGAATCGAACTGTGGACTTGTAGGGTAGGAGTCTAGACAGTTCCGAAGTCGTAGTTGTAGGATGTCTGAAGGGTCAAGGTCGTAGTTGCTACTTACCCGAAGGGGCAAAGTCGTAGCCGCTACAGCACCGAAAGGCCAAGTCAGAGGTTTCTAGAAGTGGCCTTTCGGAGTGAGCCTACGTTGAACAGAGGCAAGTGGTCAAGTGGTGGCAGGCCACCCTGCTGAGTCAACAGTCCCAGTTAGGCAGTCCGGTCCTGTCCAGCAAGTACCGTCTGGGACTGTGTGCACCAAGGGCCAAGGGACACAGGGCAGACCAACGCAGCGCAGAAGTATAAATCAAGAGG